TTCATATAAAATAATCACCAAGTCAATTTACCGAACATTCGAATATTATAAAAAGCAGAAAGATATCATTTAAAGCTGAATTATTTGCAATTAATTGTCCGTTAAAAACATCGTACACTAGAAACCGCTTCAGAATTAAAAATGATTCATTTCTACTAAACACAGATATTAATTTACCCTTTTAAATAGGAGTGGCTTTATTTCATTGTATGTATAGTTTACTTTAAAGTCATTGTTTTAAGACAAATTTAACAAAGACGGAAATATGTCGTGTCACGATATATGTTGATCAGTATTTTTAGTGTATCCAAATATGGTTTACCACGGAGAAAAAAGTAAAAACTTCCTGTTAAAATGAAGTGCACTGGATATCTCCTTTCAACCTTGTTTTTAAAAATAAAACAAACAGATAATGCAAACCGAACACAGTCATATTGCAATGTATTTAACAGAAAATATTATGACTGATGTTGTTGAAACATAGTTAACATTGTTTGATTGTATCAAAACTATTTCACGTTATAGCCTTTACAAAGAAGAATTTTTATTTTGTTTTCATTTATTTGAAATATTGCGTATGTCATAAACTGAGCATCAATGAAATGCTCATAAAATACAGTTTCAAGTCCACGTATAATTCAACTGCACTATAAATACAATATAAAATACAATAATACAATATAACAAACGGTTTTTGAAATAAAAATTGTCGTAATTTCGAGTGAATTTATTCCTGCCTTTCTACGAACGCCATATTAGTGAATTAAAATTCTGTATTGAGGTTAAGAATGATGCAGATGCGTATTGTCCAAACATAAAAATCTTAAAAAAATACAATGTATAATACATATATTCAAAAATAAACAATACGAACTACATTTTTTTTTTTGAATTCACATATCCCAAAGGTTCTTCAAAATGTTAAGAAAAAATCTTACTGACCATAACGCGTCAGAAAAGACAAATCTGAAGGACTATAAGCATGTTTCATTAACTCTGTAAGCATTTGTGTTTTAAAACTTGGTTGATAGATTAAATAATATTAAAATAGTGAGGCTCTAAAAACATCAGACAAATGTTAAGTTGATTTCGCTATTCATTTTATATCTCTGTTGGTCAAACAGCTTCTCCAATATTGAAATATTTACGCATCTTTGGTCATCTTTTTGTAAGTAATCTATACACTCACGTACTGTAAATATAGAAATTTAGGCTTGCCTAATATGTTGAATCTTGACACACATGCGAAATTTAATTAATGTTATTTTAACAAAAAAAGAATGAGGAAAATAAGTATTGAAATGACAAATACGACTTGTTATCATACCAAACCTTTAGTTATATTTCGCAGTAATAAAAACATCAAATATTTTTGAACGTACATAATTCAATCATTCATACAGGGCGTTTTATCTATTGGTCATACAGCTTCTCTTGTGTTCATGGAATTGAACATCATTGGTTTTCTCTCTTTCTTTCTTTATCTGTTGATAAATCATCAAGGTATCAGATGTAGGAATTATATTGCAATCTTTCTTTTTAGCTGATAACTGTATTTTTAAATGTTACAAGTATAATATTTTTATGAATCATTTAATTCATTGTTGAATGTCATCTTTTTGCAACTCCCGTATAAGTCTAACGAAAGGCGCACACAATTTATCTTGATCGTCTGAATATTATGTTCTTGTGTCAAGCTGAAAGTTCTGTCAACATTCTTTATCTATTACTTTTAATATAATGCAATGTATTCAGTTTTAGTTTATGTTCATGTATTATTGCAAGGCAGTACAAGAAATAAAGTGGGAAACTATAATATACCTGGCATTCAATGCTAAAATGTTAAGAGTTATCGTGGGGTTTATATCCTCATTGAATAGTTTTACAATGTTTTATTTCTTCAGTATTTCCCTACAAGTACTGGTATTTTAAAGTTGACCCTATCCTTATTTGAAATTGTACATGTGTTCGTTAACTGATCTAATTCGTGAAATGACACAACATGTTTCGAATAGTCGGCTCGTGATGACGAATGGTCATTTTCTTTAACGTCCTAATCGTTAACTTTACCTCGGGTGCTCTACACATTTACATGTTAAATGACTGTTCATGTCCACAGAGTACAACAGCATGTTGTCATTGAACTCACAAGCGTTTTGCTTTTACGGGAGAAGTTATCGATACATTAGCAAGTTTAACAATTCATCTTAGTTCAATTAATGATCTTGCATTGCAGATTGTAGATTGTAATTGTAATATGTCTATCTAGTTTGCTGTTTATAGTCATAATATCTTTCTGAAAGTTATTTGAATCAAAACCCTAAAAAAAACAACAACAACTGTCCTTCGGAAGGATAAGCAGATCATGCTCCATAAGTGACACCTATCGTGTTGCTAATGAGGGTATAAACCCTGTAATAAATCTTATTCGGTACGAGGGACGAGATTATAGCTACGGCATTTGGAACATATCCGCTATCATCTGTGAAACAGATTTTATTTAACGGTCAACCAACTCGTGATGGCATTCATAAAATTTACGAAGGGATGATTTCAACTTCACCACTTGGAACTCTTTGTTTAATGGCTGTCTTGTGAGCAGCAACCCTCTATCGAGGAAATCATGATAGGAAATACAAACCCTGGAATAGCGTAAACTTAGAATTATATACTCCGTATGCAGTCGCTGCAGGAATGTTCCTACATTAAAATGAAATGTTCACAAACGAGAAGCTGAAATCATCTCTTTTGTCATAAAGTTTTGCTTTTGATCGACCCACATTGTCAATTTCTAGATTTAAGTCAAGATATGAGGCATACTTAACTGTATCTATTGTATCCTATATCTCAAGTTCGATTGGTAAGATGCGTTCATCATCTATTTAGCGGTAAGTAAAAATAGAGGATACTGCTTACTGGCACAGTTGGTTCCCATGGAAATGCCTATTATTAGTTGAAAAACACGTCCTTCAAACGTAACAAATATGTTGTCAATCAAGAAATCAAATATCGTGATAATGTCAATTTCAGACAATTATTCGTGAGAATCGGAGTGATTATTTTACAAAGTATGATTTATCCCTGCCTATGACAAGACGCTTGTCTGTACGTTGGCCATTCTTTTCTATGAAACATAGCATGACCAACTCTTCCAATTTGTGTTCTAATTTGGAATGTGGAATACTGGTGTAAAGTGTAGAAGTGCCAAATGTTAAATACTACTACAAGATAAAAGAGTCTTAGACATTATGTACTCTTTGGAATTTTTTAATATCAACATCTGATTCACACCTCCTCTAGAATAGGTAGTTTCACAATAACTGAGAAGCCCAGCTTTGATTACTTATAAAATTGATGTTAATAATTTAGAAAAAAGAGGTTTCGTTGAGCACTTGGAAGTTCCAGCAATATACCGTTGTTTGTAAGGACAATAATGTAGTTAATGTACCCATTACAGTTATGAGTTATCCAGTTCTACATCTTTGGTTGAAATTCCAAAGGAACATATAACATACCTATGATTATCAAGGATTTCCTATTTAGAGAGTGTCGTTAGGGTATATGTTTAGTTTCTAAGTGAATTATCAATACCTAGTTCATATATCAAGCAGTTTATGTAATGTGATTTACACAAATAAAACGATGCTGTTTGCGGAGACAAAAACATATTTGTCTTGGAGGTACGACAAATCTTTAGCAACATTTGGGTAATTAAAGATTGACGTAGCATGGGTATTAACAGACCCATTTAAAAATGACGTTTTGTGTTGATTTTCTCTCATGTTTACGTGCATATTTGAACTCATCATCATCGTGGCTATCGTTTGTGACATTGTTTACCTTTTGTTGACTTAGGGTAAGGACTTCGTTGTAGACACGAACACAGTCTGCGTTTTTTTGGCGATAGTGATTGTTTTCCTTTCATAGTTAATTGGTTTCCCTTGATTTTGGTTTGCGACTCGGATTTATTTTCGCATAATCGACTATTGAACAGCGGTATACTTCTCTCATCAAATCTACAAGTATGATCTTGTGTTCAGTGTAGATATAATGAAAATACACCGTAGAGATACACATATTTTTTTTCAGTATTAGATTAATTGATCCGTTTAATACATCATAATGGATTTTACTCCTTTACAACAATAGGCTGCACCAATGCAGATTGTTATATACAGGTTTGGTTTAAGTGGAGTGTTTTTTTTTCTCCTAAAATCTACACCAAGTGGAGGTAAACCAAACAAGAAAAAAGTCCACGATTGTCAACAACATAAGTATAGAAGTATGGTGTTACTGGATTTGTGAAGGTCTATTCAATTGTCTGTTTCCCCAATACATTCAGTAAAAGCAAAAATTTAGTTTTAATGTCTTATATAACAAAATCAGAATGACACATGAATGAGACAACACGTAAAAAGAGTGAAAAAAAAAAAAAAAAATATGCACCACCAGAATACAGTTTAACCGTGACCTATATCGTAAGATAACGTATTTAAAACCATGTTTCTCTAAAGGCAAACATACACCAACAAAACCCACCAAAATGAAATACAAGTCAATAATGGCAATTTAAAAGAAAAACACAATATTTACTTATTGTGTATATACAGCCCAAATGGCAGTTACAATTTAAATTTTCTATCAGGTTTGAATGTCAACTCTTCTACAGTCTGTGTTTTAAATAGAGATGACCAAACCAATGCACTTTAATTATTATAAATGGTGGTATTTCGGTAGTGGCTTGTTCGGTCCTATGTCATACCCCTGATTCTAATGGTGTAATTCCAATTTTCTTTTAGTATGAAAACATCAACTAACACCGGGTTTATAATTTAGGGATACAACAAATACACAAAGCGACTTCTTTATGAATTATCTTTATCCCACGTATCTTAGATAGTTATCTTGCCCTGACTTACCATTCTAATTTTACAAAAAAGGATTTGAAACAAGTGATAATTGATATGCCGGAAAAATTACACATGAAAAAATAACGCTTACATATACACATTATTTTGTTGATATAAAACTAAAAGATTCACGGTAACACTGCAATGAAATACTGTTTGTGAAAATCCTGGTGTTGACGGAAATGGAGGTACAAGTTTGGTTATGTCTGTGTTTTTTACTTCATTGCACAATACATGCAACATGTGAGTATTTTTGTGTAATGTATTGTATTGTACTGGCAAACTTCACAGATATTAAAGAAGTGTTCATAATGCAGGATAATAGTTTTCAATGAGTCGGGTATTTCGGCAATTTGACTTTTTGTTATTGAAAAGCATGATAAATGAATGGTATTTAATTTCATATACCGACAGCTTGGTGTAAATTCAGATACGCCTAAAAAGAACATTTATTTCATTACGTTTCGCAATCCTTTTGTAATCTTGTGTATACGTCCTATTTTTTTTCCATTCTGTATATAGGAGACTTCGTTTCTAACGAATAATTAGAAAAAGAATGTGTGGGTAATGAGGACTAACGAAATCAATTAATTAAAAGCGTGTTGGGGTGTTAACGTGTTTGCTATTTCATTTATGAACGTTAACAGCATGTGTAAACAAAAGTATTATATTTGTATAATTATCAAACAAAAGTTAAGATGGTACCTAACATTACAGGGAGATAACCCTGTAAAATCAGCTAAACGATTAAATGACATTGTATTGTTAAGGAAATATTAAGCTTCTCAATGATCAAAATTAGTGTTTGTCAAACTGCTATATATCCAATGAAATTTTTTCTGAGAAAGTGTGTGGTTCAAGTTTTTCGAAATTTATAAATTTTTGTCAGAGTAAATATTTTGTCAAAATTTTATGAAAATTAAACGAGTCAAATTAATTTAAGTCAAGGTGTTTGGTACCACCTTAATTCAATTTGTGTCAAAGAAAAGTTTCGTATTTTATAATCACTTCACCACGCGATTGTGTTCTTCATCCACAAAACTGGCGACCCTCACAATGTTGTACATACACCTTAATACAATAAAAAAAAAATGTGAACCGTTAACATTAGGTACAAAGTAGTTGTCTCGAGCCTATTAGGCAGTCTTTTATTAATAAATCCCGTGGGTTTTTATTTACAACCTCTGGGTCAATACCACTGGAGACAGTATCACCAGTCCAGTAGTCTGTACTTCAGTGTTGACATGAATTATCATTAATATGGTCATAATTATAAATAAACTGTTCACAAATATTTTTTTTTCTCAAAATACTATGCATTGTTAACCCCAGGAATAGATCGCCTTAGCTTTATTTGACAAAATCTTTTGGGATTTTTGGTTTTCTATGCTCTCAAACCTCGCATTTTATTTTGCCTTAACTTTTTGGGGTTCGAGCTTTACTGGTGAGTGTATTGTTGACTAAACGTACGTCTGGTGTACAACCTCTTAATCCTGGTATTTATGATGAGCTTATTTTATGTTATCAAGATGAAAATCTGTTGCACCAATTCACCAAGGGTGGTGGCCATTTCATTAAAATTATATAATAATTGAGATTGTTTAATGAACAAATGTACCTTTTTGGCAATTGATTGATTGATTGATTGATTGGTATTTAACGATATTTTCTACACAATTGTGGTTTTTCGTGGCTGTCAATTTCTATTGGCGGAGGAAGCCGGAGTGCAAGGAGAGAACCACCGACCTGAGGTAGGAAAATTGACAATCCTAGTCAATTAAGATTGGAGTCGAGTGCACCTGACCCGTATGGGATTCGAACTGGCAACCTCACTGTTGACTTTGAAATCAGTCATGTAAAAAGTAACTTCGTTCTGGATAACTCTTGATTGCATCAGACCTGTTTTACTGCTAACTCTTGACCTGTACCAAGTCAGGAATATGACAGTTGTTATCCATTCGTTTGATGTGTTTGAACTTTTGATTTTGCCTTTTGAGTGGGGACTTTCCTTTTTGAATTTTCCTCGGAGTTCAGTATTTTTGTGATTTTACTTTTGAATAGTCTGCTCCAAACTAAGTTGAATTATAACAAATATTTCTCAATATACATAAAACAATTGATATCCAGAACATGATTAGAAACAAATATTGTCTAATTTGCCATTTAAAAATCGAAAAGTATATCGATATCCATGTAGCCCCTAAAAAAAATCAGTTAACGTACATTGTATATATTTGGTTATTGTAGCATCGATTAATAAGTAAAAAACAAGCAATATTAGTGTTCACATGCTAACAATTCTGGTCTGTTTATTTTCAAAGTGACAACAGCTCTCCTGTATATTCATAAGATTGAATTGTCGATAAAAATTAGTAGTCTTCATTCCATTCTTGTATCACACGTTAGTTTGTGCAACAAAATTGAATGCCCACAGCAATTAACGCTTGCCATATTTGTCCTTGTTAATGGTAGTTATATGTCAATATCGTAAATCATTAAATTGAGTAAAACGGGAAGGATTGTATGATGAAGATTACAACAATACTAATACTACAACATAGTGTCGGCTTTAACTAAGAGTACCAACATGTCCTCTTCTTATTCAACATACTTAGCTTATTTTATTCTTGATATCAGTAACATTTTGTATGTATCGGTCCAAAAAGTGTGTTTCAAGTTTACTAGATTGGAGTCAATAGCGTGTTATCTGTAAAAAGTGCCATACTTGTTTTTTTTATTTTGTATCGCTATGTTGCTAGTAGTTCTCCAGATATTCCAATGTATTTTGATTTGGTTGGCATTCATTCTACCAGCAGGTTAAATTGACCCAATTTGACATCAAAGAAACCTCACCCTTGTACATATAGCAAATATCACAGATTTGCACTACAGAAGAAATAAAATGTATACGCGTAAATTTTTTACTTGTTTTTAAATCTTAACTTTAACTGTCTGTCTTTTTTTTCTTTTTTATATGCAATCGTGTACTCCTGAAAAATATATACAAAAATGACACTATATGCTAACATGACTATTTTCAAAAATGTTGTATTATCCATTATTTATGCGTTTTATTTCTAAATGAAAGGTTAGCAGTAGGTATTACGTAACATTTTATCTTTGTGCGTGACGTTCATTAAAATAATTTGTAAATTATTTACATGTATGCATATTAGTCTGTTGTCTTGTTTACATCTTTGTTCAGTTTAACCATTTAAACTTGATAAATAGATAGCGAGTTACGTGAAACTGTAAGCTATTGTCATGCTTTTATCCTATTTAATGTATTGAAGTATAGTTTTTTTTTAATGAAATTATTAGGATACTAATAGTATTTTTTTTTTCAGCTTATTCGGGAAAACTTTTGTACTCAACATACTCTTTAATTAAGGAATTCGATGTTGATACACGCAATGTAACTATCCTGTTAGAGCTTGGAAGTAGTCATGTGTTTGCCATAGACTATGATTACAAAAACAGATTCATTTATTTTCCAAGATACAATACATTTTATGACATCGTTCGGTATGTAAACGTTTATTCTGATGAAGTCAATAGTAAGGGAAACATCGATTGAAAATGGTAAAATCACGTTAATAGAAAAAGTAATAATTTCTATCAATTGTAAAATGTGTAATATGACTTTTTTTAATGATGTATATAGACATCTCTGTTTTCATTTACCACAACGTTAAACGAAGATACAAGATTTATTTTCAAAGTATAAAAACATAAAATTCTACAAATCCTAATGGGGTTTGAATAGTGCATGCACCATCTTTTGTTTATCTCTTGCTTTAATTTTCTATACATATTATCAACCCTTCATTGAAAACTAACATTAGATAAAACAGTCTTTAGAATAAAACCATGTTCAAACTCACCTCATAAAGGAAAATTATTCACGTACAGACTAACACATGTCTGTCAACGCGACATATAAAATTGAGAATGGAAATGGGGAATGTGTCAAAGAGACAACAACCCGACCATAGAACAGACAACAGCAGAAGGTCACCAACAGGTCTTCAATGCAGCGAGAAATTCCCGCACCCGGAGGCTTCCTTCAGCTAGCCCCTAAACAAATATATATACTAGTTCAGTAATAATGAACGCCATACTAAACTCCAAATTGTACACAAGAAACTAAAATTAAAAATAATACAAGATTAACAAAGGCTAGAGGCTCCTGACTTGAGACAGGCGCAAAAATGCGGCGGGGTTAAACATGTTTATGAGATCTCAACCCTCCCCCTATACCTCTAGCCAATGTAGAAAAGTAAACGCATAACAATACGCACATTAAAATTCAGTTCAAGAGATTACCGAGTCTGATGTCAGAAGATGTAACCAAAGAAAATAAACAAAATGACAATAATACATAAATAACAACAGACTACTAGCAGTTAACTGACATGCCAGCTCCAGACTTCAATTAAACTGATTGAAAGATTATGTCTTCATCATATGAATATCAGGCACAATCCTTCCCGTTAGGGGTTTAGTATCATACCATCATAACATATATGAGAAGAACATAACCCGTGTCATGCCAACAACTGGTTTTTAAATAAATGTGTTTAGTGCCGATGCAAAGACCCTATAAGTGAATCAATATTAACGCCAAAATATGCAATCTTTAATGACCTGACAACAGTATCGTAACTATATCCCTTCTTAATTAGTCTATTTAAAGGTTTTGTTAGCTTCAGAGGTGAATACTGACATTTTTGTGCTTTATAAAGAATATTTCCATAAAAAATTGGATGTGAAATACCTGAACGTATAAGAAGTCTGCATGTTGAGCTATATTTACGAATGATGTCCTTATATCGATGATAAAATTTAGTAAATGTTTTGACTAGTTTGTGATATCGAAAAGCCCTGGTGTAATAATTTTTCAGTAATACATTATTTACCGTAACACTAATTAACGCTTAGAATATCCAATTTTTGAAAGAGAATCAAAAATTATTACAATTACTAGTGAATTGTTTTGCTCTCATATTTTTTTTCTAGAAAATTGATAATTATATTTCCATGAATGTTTTGGCTGTAACTATTAATAATGATATAACGTATTAATATTCGACAGATTTATACTTAATTCATAACAGCATTATGTTTTATTCAGGAAATTCTAAAAAAAGCTATTATTTTGAACAAGCCAAATGTTTACATGGTTATTTGAAACTAATTAACACGGAATTTTTCAAACTTGTTTTTGTTTTGTTGTAAAATTCTAAAAGCTGAGAGTTAAAAATGACAAACAATCAATTCTGCAAATCAGGCTAGTTGTGTCACCTTAGGTGTACAATGTACTAATGAAGCCACACAATAGGCTTTCTAAAAAGTACAATTAAGAGCACTTACAATGCAATTTTATTAACAATTTACATTTCTAAGAAACAGTTCCTGAACATATGTGTAATAAGTGTTGTTGTTAGAAGTCGTCCCAGACATCACTTAATTAAGTCTTTAATATAAGTTTCATCATAGTCCTATAATTGATGTAAACTTGAGAGCACTTACGATAAAATTCTCGATATAACTATATTTTCAAGTGGGATAGTTCCTAGACAATATTTGGTTGGCGCCGACTTTCTAACGTGTCTTATCTGTCAAAGACATTACTTATACAAATGTGATTTTCATTAAAAAAAATCTTGGAAGAATAGTTCGCGTAATAGCGCTAACAAGACCAAATACACGAACGGCAGCCCGCTATTTTTATGTCCACCGCATGAGTTATTGTAGGGAACAATAAAAAGTGAATTGAAAAAAGTTAAATTTGCTTTGATGACATAAAGATGAAACTTCATATACAGAATAACATTTTTTTTTTCATTTTTGACTTATCACCATTAAAGCAAAAAACTAAAAGACATTTTGTGCAACTGTTGAAATGATGCAAACCTTTTAAAAACAGAATTCAAGACAGAACATTACATGTAATCATTCATGAATGATGCAAATAGATTTGTATTACTGGGTAACCTCAACAATGTCAAACAATACATCTCTTCGAAAATGTTAGTCAAACGTTTCATACGCCTAAGTTTAAAAACTGTTTACTGACGGGCAAAACATATTTGTATTTAAAAGAAACACATGTGTTTTGTATGGGCCCTTTATAGCTTGTTGTTTGGTGTGATCCAAGGCTCCGTTTTGAAGGCCGTTCTTTGACTTATAATGGTTCATTTTACAAATTGTGACTTGGATGGAGATTTGTCTCATTGGCACTCATACCATATCTTCTTATATCTATTTGTATGTAAATAGCATTCGTTTAAGTCAGTAAATAAGTGTAGGTAATCAAAATAATCGAAAACTGCGGTTGAAGCTACTCAAGCAATGTACAACATATATTATTAATTCGGTTAAATGTTCTAGCTCAGACACCACACATTTAACAAATTACAAATATTTTCTACCATTATAAGAGCTCGGTTAACATTATAAAATATATCCTCGCCAACGTTTCAAAATTATTCCCCATTCGTCACTTTAGGACATATTATAACAAGTCTTTAATATACAGACGGTTTAGAAAGCCCCAGTTGTCATATATTACCAAACGTTTTATTGAACCTTAAAATGTAAAAGTTAAGACAGCGGGATGAGGAATTAAGTTATCAAAATGCTAACTCGAAATTGCCACATGCTAAGTTGAATTTGCGTTATGTTGACTTCCCATGACAATGGCTTTAGTTATAGTACTATAGTAATAAGTTACTATGTTGTGAAGCCATGCAAATAACATGTTACGTTGAGTTTAAACTACATTACGTGAAGTTGACGTTGTATGATACCGTATAAGCTTGCAGATGGATAATGCACAGTCATTCACTTCGAATGCAATGATAACAAATAAAATGGATAGCTAAAATGTGTGGTGCTGACTTATCATACATAAATGTTATGTTGAGATAGAACGATGTTAGGATTGTGATAAAACAACAGGTTTATCATACAATAAGTTGATTTAAAACAACATGATGTACAGACGAAAGTGCATGATGTTAAGCTAATATAGCACGCTGATATAAAACTAAAATGTACCGTTAGGCTTACCGTATAATTTGTTGACTTAAAACTAAACATTTCAACGTTGAACATTCTTGAAGTTAAGCTACGGTATTACAATGCTTTATCAGTACATTGTCATTATAGGCTTTTCATACAATATACTCACTTAAACTTACACGATGTACAGTTAAAAGTAGTTCACTACGTAATGTTGGGATAAGATAATAATTATTAAAGGTCAACATTACTTTGATGAAACATATTTAAAAACATATGTATATATGTTGTTTATTAATATATACAACAAAAATACTTGGGTCTAATAAGGCTTAGGACTGTGATAGTCAAATTTTACTCATACGATTTCACATCTATGTCAGAGTTATCAGATAATTTGAATTTACCACCTTCTTTCTCCCGAAATAAAACATAAGAATCTGTACAGTTCGATATATTTTTTGAAATGGGTTGGAACTGATCCCAACTGTACGCTATAGGTGACGATTTCACAATATTTTGCCTTTTACTTATTGTAAGTTTGGTATATCTTATAACGGTCTGCCTGATCGCATAGTTTGCTCGATTTAATAACGTCTCATCATTCGATTTGAAAAATAACTGTATATTTAAATATTGGTGTTGGTTAACAGTGCTTCTTTTTCAACAAAATATCAAAGAATATCTAATTTCAAGATACAGAAAAGAGATAAATATTGATACATGTTGGAATACATTATGGTATTTTCTGCCCTCTAAATTCATTTTAACATGTTCAGCAGAAGTGTGGATTCAGTTTTTTTTTCCAATCAAGACATCAAGTGTTTTACTGATTGGACATTGAATTATGTCTTATCATTTGTTATTTGAATTCTGTAATTTCGGTACAATTCACATGTGTCTTGTTTGTCAGCAAAGTAGAGTTACTCGTGGTCCGTTTGCAGTTTTTTTTGTTTTACATTGTTTTTATTTAGTGTGTTTACTGTTTGGTCTTACATGCATGATTTTATTTTATATTAAAGTCATTTTTATTTTATTTTCGATATGTATGTTATGGTAGATCATCGGTGTATATTTCCTCAGATAACATTTTGTTATATTTTGCCAAAATGAAGATTTAAATACGTTTTTTTTTTAAATAAAATAAAAAGTGTGGTGTACCGTGATATTTCACAAGTCGTACAACATTGACAAAATTTGCATAGACTATTCATGACAAAACCAAATTTTGGGCATTAAAAGAAATCTATGAGATAGAATTTTGAAATAAAATATGAGAAGATACGTTTTATGATATGCTTTAAGAAAATTAAGAGAAACAAATAGTGTCACCGAACTAGTTTTCTCGCAAGAAAAATTGAAAATTTCCCTATCATTCCAGTATATAAATTTTATTAAAAGAAGTATATCCCCTTAAATGACTAAGTTGATTTTATCTGGTATGTGTTTACACGTAATGAACAATGCAATAAAGCATTTATTTTTTCTTTACACGAATA